CCGCCCCGCCCCGCCTTCCCTTCCTTGGGGAGGGCGGATGGTGTGCGGCTCGGATTTCAGAGAACCGCGGCCGCTAGATTGCGGTGGTGCGCGTGTCGTCCCCCTGGGCCTGTTTACCTGCGAGACAGGAAAACACGTACCGCGAGTTGCGCGCGCTCCGCCGGGACCGGCACGGGCCGCCACGGACCGCCACAAATCCACAAGCGTTGAGGGTCGGCCCGGCAAGCCCGGACCAGGCTGGCGATCCGCGACGCTCCTGTGGACCAACGAACGGAGAGCATCGGGGAGGGTACACCCACCCACCCAGCCGGGCCAATTCGCCCACCTGTTTGGCGCGTCTGTCTGTCTGTCTGTCTGTCTGTCTGTCTGTCTGTCTGTCTGGCCGTCTGTCTGGCCGTCTGTCCGCTTTTCGTGGCTGCCTTGTCTGTATTTTCCGTCCGTCTGTGAGCTTCCTCTCTCCCCCGCGATGCGGAAGCGAAGTGAGCCGCCGATAATGAAGGCGTCCCTCTCTCTGGAGTGACGTCACACCGCCCCTCTCCTCGGTTTTGGTACCTGCCGTTCGACGGCGGGCGTCCGCCACGAGGCGAGGCACAGTGTCTGGGACGCCTGGGACCCTGATTCGCGTGGCAGCGCGTGGGCTGCACTGTTAAATAAATCAAAGGCAATTTTGCCAGTTGACGGATGCTTTCGTGTACGCTCTTGCGTTTTTCCCTAACCACTCAACCCTCCCCTGTCCTTAAAATTGCAATTTTTAACATTTTTGGGGGTAGGCATGTTGAAATCCAACCCCCACCAGGAAGTGCGCACAGGCGATGAAGTGCGGCAGTCCACCCTGGATTTCTTCACAGTGCGGGCTGCTGGCGACGTGACGCAGTGACGCCCCCACTGCAAGTGAGCTGGCCGTCGGTGAAAGAGGCCTAAACACGGCCCGCCTGCCTAGACCCCCGCGTCTCTGTCTCTGTCGCACCCGCGGGACGCACCAGGAGTGCGAGAGAGAGAGAAAGAGGCGTCCCTCCCAGTGTGCTGGCTGGCGCTAATGGATCAGAGGCTCCTGCCCGCGGGCCTACTTGACTGGCCTGACGGGCCTTCTAAACAGCGAGCAGTGCACTGTGGGGAAAAGGGCCAAGTTCAGGCGGACACAGCTCTGGACGCGACCGGGCCCTCTTGCAGCGCCGAAACAAGACCCAAGCCAAACACGTGAGGGTATCTTTAGACACGCCGTTCGGAGGGCGTTCCATTGGCCGTATCATGACTTTGATTCGAGTAAAAGACGCTCGCTCAAAAACGTTTGCCAGTGTAGTGTCCGCCTGACCGAACGAACCGCCTCAAGCACGGACCGCTTGGGGTTGGCGGCGAATGATTCCTCAATAATCTGGCAAATCCGAGTCAGCGGATGGAACTCGCACCACTTCGCCGCCCCGCCCCGGGCATCCGATCGCGGGGCCGTTCAAGCGACGGCGCCCAAGATTCCCCCATTCCCTCGGGTACGTTCGAAGGCTTCTGGTTTATTCCCTTTAATTTTTCCCGCCCTTACATCCCGCGCTGTGATTTGGCCCCGGCTCAGAGTGGAGATGGCAGGACGCTCCCCGCCGCTCGGGCCTGGGGCCGCGGGGGCTCCGGGGCCGCAGATAGCACTAGTTCGTCTTCCTGACTCCGGGAATTGCACGAACGGAGGCGGGGCGGCCTCCGGGAAGAAAATCGAGGACGGTCCGCGGCACGGCGGGTACGGCACGGGGCGGTATGATGCGACAGTGGCCCGCCCATTCCGCCCTCATGAGTATTGGTGGATTGAATTGGCTGCCTCCCCGCCTCCTCCCTCTATCCGCCGCGCCTCGTTGCGCCCTCTTTGTCTCTCGGGGTCCCCGTCGGCGCTCCGCCCGCGCAGCCCGCGCCGCCGCGGCACGGTTGCTTTTGTTTTTGAACGGTTATGGAGTCTGTGCGGCCCCGGGGCGCCAGCCGACTGATTCGTCGCTCTGTCTCTCTCGCACCTGTACGGAGCTCCCCGTGAGTGCGGGAGAGACAGAGAGACCGCGCCGCGTCCAGGCCGCCAGGTGCGTCGACCACATCGACACGCCGAGTTCGCTGCCCCGCGACTTAAATGAAAACGAACGGCGGCGTGGCAACGCAACGGCTCTCCGGGGTGCCTCCGCCGCCCCGCCTCCCCGCCGCTGCGGCGAACAACGACGAAAGAATAAGGACCAACGAAACGAAACCACTGCGTGCATTGATTCCGCGGGCCTTTTAGCAGACGATACCTTTACTACTTCAGAACATACCTAGAACAATACAAGACACATGAAGGTGTCAGCTAGCTTTTCCTTCGAGAGTCCGGAAACCAAAGTGTTCAAACAGTAGGGCTGGCTGCCGGGGCGGGATAGTGAGTGAGGCTCGTGAGGCGCAGTCTGCGCGAAACATCGACACTCACTCACCCGGTACAGCGCCACCGGCACCGGGCGTAAGCAATGGCACGCACCCCCTCCTCGGGTGGCACCCCGGCGGCCTGCGCGGAACATTGTCGGTCCCTCCCCGCGTACAGCGCCCGCGGCACCGGGCGCTCGCAATCGCAATCCAACGGGCACGGCGCGGCGGTGCAGGCCAGGGCACAAAGGACCCAGTTTATTTACAATTGTATATACAATCACAAAGATAGGAGCATACTGCCACAACTAGCCCACAGGACAGTACCAGACGAATATCGTCTGCCTCCATAAACGTTCCTTGTTTCAATTTCCCTCGCAACTTGTTTCTTTTACGTTATATGTAAGCAGATGATACATTTGAAGTTTCCAAAAAAAAAGACAAGAACAGGCCCGGGTGATTTGGGAGCGAAACTTGAAATTAAAAACTTGAAACTCAGAGGGTTGCAACCCTCTTTTACCTTGAGACTCTCCTCGCCACTTAGCCACCTCGGTAGCTAACGAAATTTTGCAGGATGGCTGAGTCTACTCGGCTAAACTGCAAACTGCTTTGCTAAAGTGCGTTGCAGAGCAGCTAAATAAAATTAGGGGGACCGCTAAATATTAGCTGCAACGATAAAACTTTTAGCGATGCAGGTAAATCTGTCTAGCTACTGAATATTAGCTAGGTTAGCTAAGTTTTTTTTTTTTCGTGTAGGCCGCACCGTAGGGCCGCTACCTGCCGGGTTGTACCTCCATCACTAGGGCCGAAACCTCGTCCGGGGAAAGAAGCTATAACTATACGGTGGGGCCAGCGCCGCCGGCAGCGACCCTTCTAAGCGCTTGGTGGAACATTACTGAAGAATAGAGACGAATGACGAAAGACAGAGGAATTCTCCTGTAATGTTTCTTGCCTTTAGCAATTAGAAAGTTTCTGTCGGCGGTGACTGAGCGTGACCTAAAGGGGCGGCGGCTCGCCTCGGACGCAGCGGTCGAAACCTAGTGGTGGAATAGGGCACCTCGGATGGTCAGAGGTCCTGCCTGCCGTGTGGCAAGGGTAATGGTGTCCCGCGCGGTGCTCTGCACTGTGCAAAGCCTCTTCTGATCTAATTTATTTTATTTTCCATTTTCAATAGGCTGCACTTTTAAAAAAGCCGTACATTTCAAGGAAAAAGGTACGGCTAGACCGTACCTCACGGTGTACAGTACAACCGTACCCAAAAACCGTACTCCCCACCCCAAAAGCCGTACTGGCTGAGGTACGGTGGTACCAGGCAAATTGTCTACCAGACTGTGCCTGTACCTTTTCCCGTGGATTTTTTCTACAGTGTGGGAAAATTCATAAGACCTTTTTAAATTAAAACAATAATCATGGCAAATTGTAATTTCTGCTCTTAAATGTTTTCGTTGGAAACTAAAAAAGTATCATCTGCTTAGATTGACGTTCTTTAAAAGATAATTTTTTCGCCAGCGTCCGCCATAAAAAGGCTTGCAGTGCGGCTGCAGCGAGGCCAAGACGGCAGTGATCATGCCCGATAAAACGGCCATAAATCCCTTTATTTGTCCGTACAGTGTGGGCGCGGCGCGGCCCGCGGGGCGGCGGGGGCTCGTTTTGGGGGCCGCTCGTTAGAAAAAGTGTCCGTTCGCCGATTTGGGGGACTTGTCCACGTCCAGAGACGCGTCCCGGGACGTGCCCCGGACGTGTGCAGCCGAAGGGAAAGCCGAAGGGAAAGGCAGTGTCGCAGCGCAGCCTGTCGTCCGCAGCTCCACAGCTGACTGATTCCGAGAGACGCGTCCTGTCCGCCTCTCTTGCACTCGTGGGGCGCCCCGTGTGGGTGCGAGAGAGACAGAGCGACGGCTCCCCCGGGGGAGGCTAGGCTCGTTCCGCTCGGCCGACCCGCATGCCACAGTGGCGTGGCGCGTGACGCGTGCGCGTGTCGAGGCGTGACGCACCTGCACTGCAGCGCACGTGGAGAGGACTCGTCCTTTCAAAGCGACAAATTTTTTTTTCAGTTCGTCAAAGGGACTTTTCCGTGGCGGTTATGACCGCCATTCCTCACGGACTCGACCTTGAACTTGACCCAGTGTGCCTGCGCGGCCTGCGCCTGCCCGCGACAGTGCGGTGGTCCGGGGCTGGCTGCTCGCTGTGTCGCGACGCCCCTGGAGCTGAAACGATGGCGCTGAATCGACTCCGCCGTGTTTGCCCAACGTCTGCGACTGTCCGTCTGAGACTGTGGCCGCCCTGGGCGTCAAGCTGGGCGTGGCTTCGCGGCTTCGCGGCTTCGCCTGGCTCGCCGTCGGCGGGACGTCCTTTGCACGGCCCGCTCCCCAGCGACGGCTGTAAACAGCTTTTTCTCCCCTCGCGCCCCGCGGCGCCCCGCGGCGTCCCTTTGCGGCTGTAGCCAAAAGGCAATCGAATCGGATTGGGCTGCACTGGTGTCCCAAGGGCGCCCGGCTGGAGGCGTCTGCGGCGGCCTCGCCCTTGGCAGTGTACTCGCTCGCCAAAGGCAGCCCTGGAGGCTGGAGGCGGAGGCGGGGCTCGAGAGACTGACCAGGCGGCGAGCCACTCCACGCCAGGCTGTCGATCTGGACAGGGCCTCTTACCTCTCTTCGGTAGTCCTTTGAGGTGCTGTCGCAGACGCTGTCGCAGGCGGCGCCCGAATTATCCTCAAGTGTCGGCCGCGTAATCGGCTTTGCGGCGGGGCTGCTGGTGCTGCTGGTCGTCGTCGCCGAGGGGAGACATGCTCCTCCAAGGGGCTCCGAACCCCAAATCCCGCGTCCGATCCGCCCGATAGGAGCGGCCGCCTCGCTGCGCCTCGCTGCGCCTCGTGGCCCCGGGGACGCCGATCGCTCAGGCAGCACGGTGGTCTTGGCCTCGGCGGCGGTGCCCCGACGACGGCCGCCACGTCAGCCTGGTGCCCTCGCAGACCGCCGCGACGACGGCGAGGTCCGACAACCTGTTGCCCTCACGATGGCCGTCGACGTGGACCCCAGGGCCCCGTCATGGCGGGCACGGCGTCGCGGTGACCGCGGGACTCGCGCGCGGCGCGTCGACCGCGACCTCGCGGGGCTGCCTGGCGTACGCGTTGCTCGCTGCACGCGCAGGGGCGCGGCCGGGCCGTCTGGGGTGCGCGCGACTCGAACACCGACCGCCGTCTGGCTTGGCGGCGGGGCGTCCGCGCCGCCCTGGGCTGCCCTGGGCCCCGCGGCGCGCAGCCACGCGCAGCGCGCAGCCGAGGCGTGGGGGTAGCCGTGGGCCCGCGTGGGGGGCCGCCCTTGCCGCCCCGGGCCGCCCTGGCGGGGCAGCCAGGCCCGCCGGTCCAGCCTGCTTCATATAATTGGTGTGCCTCACGCTCACGCAGCTGGCCAGTGCCAAAGCTCGCAACAATGGGGTGCATCAAAATTGACGTCGGCGTCATTCTCGCTGCGACGCCGAAGCACCAAGCTTAATCCCTTCATCGCTGTGAATGCTGGGAAGGCTCTGGCTTTCCGGTTCAAAACCAGCTGACAGCTTTTCTATGCGGATACTTTGAATCAACTTTTCAGACCGCCCCCTAGAAGTTCGACGAGGTGATTGTTACGATACGCACTTGGTTTTTGGACTCTCGAGTAAAGGCTAGCTGACACTTTTATGTGTCTTGTTGTTGTAGTTTTAGGTATGTTTTTAAGTGAAGGTATCATCTGCTAAAAAAACGGATTGTTTTCCATGGAACTGGCGGATTTCGGAAACTTGCTCGCAACAGCTGGATGCGTAGCTGCTCGGCGGCCATCCCCCTTCCTGGAAGCGTCCAGGACCTCCGGCGCGAACCAACAAGCACCTCAAGCCTGGGGATCGCAACCAAAACAACGGAGCGAAACTCGCTCGCCGGCCGAGAGGGGTATTAATTTAAAACCGCTCCGGCAGCTCTGTTGTTCTTATTTCGTGGACGAAATTTCCTTTTGCCGTGCGGCGGGCAGGCAGCGCAGGCAGGCAGCGCAGGCAGGCAGCGCTGTTGTTGTTCTGCAACCACTCCACTGGGGGCCGGGCCGGCTTGGGCCGCGCCATGACGCAGTGGCTCGGCTACAACGCCATCGCGGGCCTGCATCGCATCGCGCCTCGCACTTCGTAAACAAAGTGGCCTTGTCCGCCTCTCGTCGTTTTGGCCCGCGGATCTCATTAATTGGGCACCGGAAATTGGAAGGCACGAGGCCGGGGATTGACGTAGTTGAAGGAATGGGGAACCGACTTTTTGCGTCTTTCGGATTCCGGGATGGCGCGTCTCGAAAGCTGTGATGATTACTTGCCATTACGTAACCTTATTACGCCGCACAAGTCGTGAAATCATCGCCCAACTGCAAAGTTGAGAAAATGTTGGCAACCACGCTTTGGAGAGGTGACCCAGCTACTCGGCAGCCTCCCGTTGCCGGTTCGTTCCCTCTCTCTTGCCGCCATATGTGTGCGGACGACGTGCGGCCCTGTAGCGTCCGCCGGCAGTCTCTGTCTCTCTCGCACCGCACTCAGGGGCCGGCCCTCGGCCGCGAGTGCGAGAGAGCGCGAAAGCGGTGCGGCGCGGAGTCGGCCAGAGGGTCGTGTTGCCCTTGGCGAGGGGACGGTGGGTGACGACTTCGTTATCCGTGTTTTTCTGCCCGAGTGCGGCCCGCCTCAGAGGGCTGCTCAGAACGTGACTGCGGGCCGCGGCTCGGGGCGCTGCTCGGGGCGCCGCGTGCACCGCTGTCCAGGTGGACGCCGGCCCAGCGTCGACGCCGTGCCCCGGGGGACGGCGCTAACGACGGGTCGTCGGCGGGCCCGCCGCGCGCGCGGTGGTGGTTATTGAATCGGGGCGACTAGCCCGCGAGCGGCCCGCCACCAGCCAGCACCCTGATTCCGAGGGTCGTTTTCGTCGCACTGTCTCTCTCGCGGCGACGCCCCGTGAGTGCGAGAGGGACACGGCGACGACCCTCGGAGTCAGTCTGCAGCGGTGTTGGCGTGCCGATGGGTGCGCTGCGCCGAGCTGCGCGCTGCGGGCAGCCGGCCGGCTGATGGAGACACTGGCACGGCAGGCCGGCGCTCCGTCTCTGTCGCACTGGCGGCGCGCCCCGCTCGGGTGCGAGCGAGACAGAGCGACTGTCCGGAACCGCTTGGCCGAGTAATGAAGGTGCGCGCATCGATTCGTTCTCTGAGGACGTGCAAGCGAGGCCAGTGACGGAGTGGCAGCTTGTCGCTTCGCGAATGCACGGCTCGGCAGCTTGACGCGACCTTGAGCTCCTACACTGCCGGCCGGTCATCGGGCTGTTCCAATGTAGCAGTGTTCCACTGCGTGGCAGTGCGACTGCGCCGTCGTGTCTCGTGTCGTGTCTCCCTCATTGACCTTCTCTTCGGCGGGGTCCTGGGCGCCGCCCCGTCGTCCTGGGCCGTGCCCTGGTTCACCTCGCTGGCGCTACCCCGCACCAGAGAGGACAGACTGTCTGCCCCGCACCCGCGGCGATACGCCACGCCGGGCGCGCTGGGGGGTAGTTCCAGTGGCGCTACCCCGCCGCGCGCGCCGCGCCTGGGGCGGCGTGGCTACCCCGCGGCCGAGGGGCTGCCCCCGGTGCGCGCGGCGTCTCTCCAGGGCGCTGCGAGGCGGCTTGGGCGTGAAATGTTGGCCGGACGTCGGGCTGCTAGACTGCCAGACGCTCCCCGGCCAATAGGGCGCCTCGCAGGCATGCAGCCCGCGCAACAGCCGTGTCCCCTCGTTGCCTAGGCGCTGGTTCGCAGGCGGCCCGGGCACGGCGTCGGCGGCGACCGCGACATTAGCAGCTAAAGAGTGGCCGCGCTGTGCCGCCCTCGGACTTTCTCTCTCTCTCTCTCTCTCTCTCTCTCTCTCTCTCTCTCTCTCTCTCTCTCTCTCTCTCTCTCACCACGGCCATCTGACTTTCTCTCGCGCACCTACACGGGACGTCCCATCAGTGACGTGGTGGCCGCCGCCGCCATGATCACGGCCGTGAAACGGCCTTGGGGGATGATCGTCGGCTATTAGCGGCCGTCGACCGCCAGACGGCCGGCGCAGCAGAAGGTCCAGACGGCCGTCTCGGCGGTGAATGCGGAATGAAGGGACTTCCGGCCGCCGCGTCGTAAAACGGGACGGGGACCGCAGCGCCGTGCCGGCCTTGCGAAGCCTCTGCCAACGCCGAATTACGAGGTCGGCCCAAACTTTCTACGAGGCCGCCGATGGCCACCGATGGCTGTCACGGCTTGTCGTGGCATTGTGCTGCTGCGTCTTTGTCGTCGTCGGCGAGGGCGACTCTGTGGCCGCATGAAGCGATCAGTGAATTCGGCGTCGCGCGCTGGCGGGGGAGCAGCTTACAACAGTCGACAGCGCCAAAAAGAAAATGCAGAACGGCGGCGCGCGCATCCCCTCCCCCTCCAATTTGCAGCGCAGTTTCGAAGTTCCAATTAGTTGCCGCCCCCGAGCACGTTCCGCTTGTCGCGTGGTGCGGCGCGGCGTGGCACGGCACGGCGTGGCGGCGACGCAGCGCGGCGAGGAGGGACCTTTGCCCCGGGCTCGCCAGACTACGCGCCACGTGCAGCCACGTGCAGCCACGCCGGCAGGCAGAGGCAGGTAGCATGGCGAGTGGCGAAGCGTGATGGCATGATAGTGCGACTTGTGAGGGGAACATAAAGTATTAAGCAAGTAAATCGGATAATTAGAAGCAACATACACATACAGCACGGCAGTACAGTGTGCCAGTCTGTCGTGAGCGCGCCGCGGCCCGAGGGCTGTTGGAGTCGCCCCGCCCGCGCCTTTCCTTTGTAGACGGTACCGGTTGGCGGGGGATGACGTCACGCGGCGAGGCGCGGGGCAGCAGGGCTCTCACCGCGTTCCGGTGCCGACGCGGCGACGCGGTGACGACCGACCGCCCCGAGCCTACCAATTTCCCCTGGTGTCATTTTTCCTTTCCTCCTTCTCGGAAAGCGAGGCGCGGCGCGGCAAGGCGCGGCGCAGCACGGCGTCCCGCAAGATTGCAACCGCCTCGCCGCGAGCGACGGCAAACCTTTGCGCGCCCAAAACACACACTCACAAGCACGGACACACACACAAACACACTTTATATTTATATCGCGCATCCAGGTCGCATCGCGGCGGCCATTCAAACTTGAGCCGTTTTGCTGTGTCGTCACGAGCCGCTCTGAGGCCGGGCGGGAATTACCCTGAATTGTATGTGCGTGTTAGTGTGTGTGAGTGTGTGGGTGCGTGCGTGTGGCATCGTGATTCGGTCCAGTGGTGGCGGGGCTGGGGGCCGGCTCGGCTCCGCTCTCCGCTCCCCCGCGCCCCAGCGACCCACTTCGCGACGCCGGCCGGCTCACCCGGCTCACGCGGCTCACGCACTGGGCGCGGGGCGGGGCGCGCGGGGCGGGGCGGGGCGGGGCCGGGTCCGCAACCAGGAAGTGCGCCCTTATTGGAGGCTGGCGGGGGAGTGGGCCATCGCAGCCCTCACGCGCCGACGTGGCCGAAATGCGAATTAATGGCAGCCAGAACCAGGTCCAGGCCCACTTTCAGCCAGGCCGGAGCGCGCCGGCTGTGTGTGACCGTTTGCTTGTGCGCATATTTTCGCGACTGTTTTGAAATTCACCGCGGCGAAAACTTGAGAAAAAGAAAGGCAGCGAAGGCGACTTGGCCGTCGGCGCGGGGCGGGACGGCGGCGGCGTCTGACGTCACATCGGTCGGCCACTTTGTGCCGGAGCCAGCAGTACTAACTACTTCTGCTAAGGGCATTATTGTCTGGCTGCCAACTCGGCGCTTTCCCGAACGGGTTCAAGGCCGTTCGGCGAGTCCCGGACGGTCCCGGACGGTCCCGGACACCGGCGTGA